TAAAGGGGGAGGGAGGTGGTTGTTAATTCTTGTTGATTTTTTTTTGGGGGGGTTGTTTGTTTTGGGATTGTTTGTTTGTTTATTGTTGGATTTTGGGGGGGCTGGGGGTGAAAGTGGATGTTTCGAATTACGATTTGTTCCGGGTTCTAGCTGCAGCGAACAACTCACAACTCCCGTCCCTCCATTTGTGTTTTAAAAATAATATTATTACAGAGACATCATCCACATGACTTAACAGATGACCACTTTTCTTCTAGACATTGGGTGGTCGTCTTGGCCAGGTCCAACTTACTTTTAACCTTTGAACAGACATAAATAGAAATTCATTCGTACCAACTGCAGTGAGGTTACTGAACACACAGTGCTACAAATGAAAGAGAGAGAGAGAGAGAGGGAGAGAGAGAGAGACAGAGACAGAGAGAGAGACAGAGAGACAGAGAGACAGAGAGACAGAGAGACAGAGAGAGAGAGAGAGAGAGAGAGAGATGTTTTACGGAGCGGGTTGTCCCAGCACGTGAGACATGTATTTACTCATGTCCTGTCCTGTTGTACGTATGCGTGAGTGCACCTAACGTTTGTAACGTCCACTGCCACTGTTGACGACCAAGACAAATTTCTCCCTGCGAGATGAATAAAGATTGTCATTGTCAGGGTAGAACCATATTAACGCCCGACACCGACAGTCAGACCAGACCCGCCGTTTTCCGTCGGGAGCAGCCGACCATATTAACACCGGAGTTTGGCGGTCCGACACTTCCGTCTTGAAAATATGGCGTGCGGTAGAAGAAGAACATTGTTGTTGTTCCTGCTTTTTGAGACGCAGACAAAAAAGGAAAGCCAAGATTAGAAGATTTTCAGTGCATCCCATCCAAAGAAAGCGTGATACACTAGGTGAATTTCATCCTTTGTTTCTGCAGTTGTAAGATAGTGAAAAATTCCAACAATACTGTCGCATGAAACATAGCAGTTTCAATGTACTGCGAGAAATATGCAGAGCTGACCAACAACTGCTAGAATTCTGTGCAGTGTCATTGAGGCGGGAAAGGGGACACAACTATGCAGAGATAACATCATTAAAATCACCTCCCATCTCGCCTGACATGTTTTATCGGAGACGGTCTGACGGGGACGACACAGGACGTCGGGCGTCAGTATGGTAGCCGAAACCGT